CACGTCTTTGGGGACCCTCATTCTTGCCTTTGAAGCTGAAATGAGATTGCAAAGGCCAATCAGCCGCCAATTCGCTTTGAGGCACCAACCTAGTAGCAATATGTAGCAATGGCCTCCAACCTAAGAGCGATGGCCTCAAATCGCTTTGAGGCACCAACACTATCAGTTCTGTGCCGCATACGAATCTCTACGGAACTTGAGCCAAAGGTGGAGCCGGACGGCAGAGTCTCTCAGGGAACCTCTCAAGACAAGCTTGATCGTCTGTCATATGCTGCAAAACCCCTTATGTGGAATCGCCAACCAGGTGGTTCTAGCAAACTCTCTCTCTCTCTGACAATCAAGCCCTCCGGAAGGAGAACACTAGGTATCAATATAGGCTGCACCGCCCACCATTCCGGGCCTGGCTGGTAGCGGGCCATCTTCAAATAGCGCGCACCAGGACCTGAGAGCGCAATGCCAGGTTTATGCAGCACCCATTCTCGATCGCACCTAAGACTTAGTGACGGCTGCTCTCGCGATACCCTTTGCTCCTACTAGCTTCTTGTTCCTAGTAGTATGGCCAGGAGCTACTAGTAGCGTCCTTGCTCCTGTAGCGTTGAAAAAGGCTTTAGAGACCTGCCAATGCCTAATCTACTATTAGCCCCTGCTGACCTCTGAAACTCGGCACTCCCATCCCAAGGCGTCAGTTGTGGATTTATGGAAATTTCAAGCACTTGGTCCTGCACCCCAAAGTCTTACTGTATAGATGGTTCCGACAAACTCACTGCGGATTTGTTTGGGGGAACCATTCTTGTGATTGACTTCCTGCATACAGCGAAGCTCGGCAGAACCTTTTTTTGGGCTACTGGTCACAGCAAATTCATACCAATGAACCCGGCCCACCTGTATCCATTCCGAACAATCTGAGTCCATTGTCGCAAATGGAGTATATATAGCCATCTGTTCACCTGCAAACTCGGTTTGTCAGTATCGACTGGAACTGGCTTGGTCCCGAACTCTTTTTACCGGTGCCAGAGCTTTTGCGGCCTCGCAGACAAGCGAACTAACAAACATTCAATGCAGCAAATTTGGTGAACACCCCGTGTTTATGTCCATCCAAAGATTGGGGTCAACAGATGAAGACATGGGGGTCCGAACTGCTACTATGTAGTAGTGGAGCTGGTAGAATTCTGGAATGCTTTTTGTTCCTTGCTTTCCAGTAAAGATTTGTCACAACAAATATTGGCTTATTTGTACTTTCATGGTCCGGCTGACCTAGCTTCTGCAGATTGATCACCCGAAAGGTTGTGTTCTTGGCCGACTTGATGAGCTCAGCCCAATTCTTGCAGCTGGCTTAGGGCCCAACCATCCAGCCCGCCGGCAGCCATTGACCCCACTGGCGGAAGGTTGAAACCTGCAGGGCACGTTTGTGCAATGTGGCCGATCCTGTTGCGGGTGCACCACAGCCTTCCTTTGAAAGCAAAAGCACATGTCCAACTGAACTCGTAATGCGTCCACTTTTGAAGGGCTAATGGGGCCCATCTGGCGAAGCATCTTGGAAATGTAGCCAAGGTGACAATGAATGATGTATAAAACATTATAAAACTAAACAGGTAAAGCTGTTGAGGTCTTGCAAACTCTTTCTTCTGCTCTGACTCTGACTCTCACCTTTGGAGCCACCAGCATTCTCCTTGCCAAAGGATGGCCTCCAAGCGACACCGGAAATTCGAAAGCTTGGTACAGTAAAGAACTACATTTCAAGCACAGCGAGACGCACCACTCGCCATCGCCGCTCAGACCGTGCCTCCGACCCGAATTCGGAAGACCGTGGCCGTCGCCTTTCCAGCCTCGACAGGAACGCTCTGCGCGAGGTTCGAAGCGGACCGGAACGCTTCGGCCGTTCGGATCAAAATGCCTTGCAAAGCGTTTCTGTCGCTCCTTAGGCACAGTATGCTACAGGCACTGACTTTCGACATCCCCACGTCGACTCTGTGCGTTTTCCATCAGGTTACGTAACTCTCTCAGGTCGATGCACGGCGATCAGATCCATCAGGTCAGTGATCAGGTCCCTGAGGTCCCTCTGGGGTCCCTGACTTCCTTTGGTATTGAAGAGGGCATCCCCTCCCGTGAGGCTGTTGCTCCCGGTGGGGATTGACCTGGCGCAAACATGGACAAAAAAGGACGACCTCTTCGCTCAACCGGCCGGAAGTCTTCTCTTGCGAAACAAAAATTGGCTTGGTCCTTTGAGGTCATTCAATGTGGCGCGACTTCAGGAACATCCAGTAGGCTGTTCGAGCCAAATGATTGAGCCGGGCCATAACAAAACATGTACTTACACGTGCTCAAGCAGCACTGCAATGTTGCCAGAAGGCGCAAGTGCAAAATGAATAAGGATATCACTCGCACAAACAATGCTGGCTCAAGAATGTGTCATTGCCGAACCACGGCTGCTGAAAGCATGTAGACAGAAGAGGTTGGATTCTACACATGGGAATCTCGTGAAGGGCGACCGTTCCGTCAGAGGTCCAAATCATCGCCAGGGCCACGGTATGCCGGGCTTGGGCTTGCTGACCTGTGCTTGGGCTTGGGCTTGCTTGCTAGCTTCACATTCTTCACTTCTTCACGAGCGAAAAGCAAAGGATCTCTACTTCCCAAGTGCGTAGCAGATTCTGTTCGGATGTAATGAAATTATGCCAGAATTATGAAGCTTCTTGCAACTAGTCACAAACATGTTTGCTTGATTTCAAGTATATCATTGACTCAAGCTGATCCAGTCATCGCTGGGCCACCCTGCCGACGAGGGAGCCATCCCAGAGGGCAACCCTCCAGACGGAACCCCAGAAGGCAACCCTCCGGACGGAGCCACTCCAGCCGCCACAGCTGGAGTCGGCGCCTGACATCCAAGCACAATATTTGACCGTCCTTCCTTTTCTCTTTTCTTTGTTTCTAATAGTGATGGCCTCCAACCTAATAGCAATGTGCTGATCAACCCTTTCACTTAGGGCCGAACTTCTGAAGATATCGAACCTAGGCTCCTAACACTATCCCACTTTTACCCGTTTGGTTCTACCCACAGACTCTGCTCCTGCTTGCGGAACTTGCCTTTTTTGCCTCAATGGCCTTCAGCCATCAGGTGTCATCTTGGACGCTTTGGTCTCAGACGGGTGGCTGTAGCGAAACAACTGTCACACCCAGCATTGCGGAGTGGAGCTCTTCGAATCAGGACAATGGCCAAAGACAACTATGTCAGGATCTGTCAAGCCACAGCCAGGTGCCGAATTAGAGACATCCTCCAAGACACCTGCCAAATGTGCAAGTGGATGATATTCTTTCTCTCGCCAAGTGTCTCTACCTCAATGCAAGTTTGCCTGGAGGCCTCCAGTTCGTCTTCCTAAGTTCTATGGAAGGATCAGGCGCAACGACGCCTCTGATCCCGAAAGTTTCATGCTATGCACATAGCGAGTCGTCTCAGACTCCTTGAGCCCAAAACGGAGTGGCCGACGCACAGCGCTAAACGCGGTAGCGGCCCTAGGAGCCTCGACGTGCCAGCCGATCTCATGAGAGGTGGCAGCACCAAAGTTGTACTTGTCGATGGGGCTAAACGTCGACCTGAAGGGATGTCTTGAGCCAAGTGAAGCCGAGAGGCCAACAAACCAACAAAAGCAGAAATGATTCAATCAAACAGCCAATGAGCTACCGGATGCCTCGTATGCTTCCTGACGTTGTCCCTCATGGTGCTCACCGACACGAACTCACTGGACTTAGGCGAAGCTGCAACACTCGCACAGGTGGCACTTAACCGGGTTGGCAGCGGGCAGTTGCCATCGGACCGAAGCCTCCATAAGTGCCTCCCATGGACGATCCCGGTTCCCTCAACGAACATCCGCTGAGAGAAGATTGCGAAGGATCTCTTGACCCCATTGAATCCAACTCATCATTTCCAATATCAAGCAAAATTAGCTCAACCCATGGATACATGTGGGCGAATGAAGTTCATTGCAAAGCTGATATGTGTTCATCATCCCTCCGGCCTGACATCTATAACATGTAGGTCACTCCTGAGGTTTTGTGGCGTCATGGGATGCGAGGGATACAAGTCAGGTCGGCTGCCCAAACGGAAGTCCATGGCGCCAAATCTCAATCAGCTTGAACGACACCGTGTTTTCGATCATGGTAGAACGACACCATACTGTTCACCTGAACGGCATAGTAAAGGAGGGGTAGGTGCCTCGCGGCAGAGTTTGACCTGGTCGATGTTCTGTCAGTTTCAAATCAGCTGACGTGCCTATTTTTACTACTTACTACATGTTAATGTCTCGTTTGAGCCTACCCGGCTACGCAAATGCAGTGCGGAAGTTTCCACCGGTTTGTGCAGAGTCCCCGAGACCTCTTTTTGAGCAACAACAATAAGTGCTATTCAATTAGAAAACTCCTCGGTATTCGCCTAGCAAGGCTGGCAGGGCAGTTTCAGGCTGCGTGTCAATCATTGCATCATGGAGCTATTGGAAAATCTGGGAGCTAAGCCGCTTCTTTCGTAACAGCCTCCTGCACCGGCACCAAATGTTCTCGCCCCAGTGCAACCAACAGGGTCCACGTTGGGTGCCTCTGAGGTGCCAGGCACCGAACCACCAAACTGTGCCTTGGAGAAGGGCACACCATAAAGCATCTTCAAAGGAGTAAGAAACCTCACTAGTAAACCCTGTTTGGGAAAAAAAGTATCGGCATAGAAGGAGTAAACTTTATATCTATACTTTGCATTCTACATGCAGCAAATTTGACAGCATGCTCAAAGCATCAACGCCTTCAATGATCAATCCTATCTTGAAGCTCACCAGACTTTAAAAAAAAAATATATATATATATATATATCAATCCTTGCCATTGAGCCAGTGGCAGTTTCCATCAAGGCGTCTGCCTGAACAACAGCCCAGCCCCGAACCCATGAATCAAGACAACATGCGCGATCCTATGGTCAATCATGATCACCTGACAATTTGCTCAATAAGGATTTTGCTTCAGTATCAAAGCGCGGGTGAGATTGGCCAGGCCTCAAAGTAGGGGTGATGAAGAATCTTGGCCGCGGAACCTCTTCGATTGGGATCCCAGTGCATCATGGCCTTGAAGGAACCAGCATCGATGGGCAAGCATATTCTGCGGCTGTCGTGTAGGTAAAGGAATATTCCTAAGATGCCGATGTGGCATTGTCTCTGCATCAATCTACGTGCTGTCCAGTTGTGGGTACTCCGATGCATTCTCCTCAACCATTTGACAACATCCACATTGAAGGCAACTATGCTCCCCCTCAGGGCTCAGCTGAGACCCGAAGAGGATTGTTTAACACCAAAGTGCAAACAATGACATCTCCATTGGTAGAGAATGGGGATGCAGAAGCCGGGCGTCGGTGACAGATTCTGAGTTTCTGCCTGCCTCACACACTCTGAGACTTTTCCTACCTCGTTCCTTCCCACCTGGCCTGCATGAGCTGGATGCCTTCCGCATTGGCTTGAGGCACCAGCGTCTCCAGACGCGTCGGCACAAACCTTGACGCTGCCCAACCATTCGATCCACCCAGGGGCAGCTGGCTGGGTGAAACAAATGCAACTGGGACAAATACATCGTGATGAATGGCACTACAAGAGTCAGTTTCTTATAGAGGTTAGTGAACTTGTTGTTCATGGAGCTTCAAGACCGTAAAGGATCGGAAGAATCAACTGACCTTCACCTCTCCAGCAAGTCACCTATCAGCCTTGCATAATGTGTCCGTCTGAAGTGGACTGCAACTGAAGCAATATCCATAAGGAGTTCAAGCAAGAGCTACAAAGGTCCAAGTTAGACAGCGTTAACTTTGTATCCAAAAACCAATCATTAATCTATATATGTAATATGAGTCTTTTTTAGCAAAAGAGATGTAGGCTCTCTCCAAAAACAAGAAATTGCTCTCAGCTGAAAGTGTGGAGAAAGCTGAGCCAACTGCTGCGGAAAGCGATAGCCGATCTGCGATGCGAGCTTGAAGCCCTCCGGCCAACTGACCTCGGTCGATCTACGCAGATCCGAGAGCGAGGCCCGACACAAGTAGTTTGACTGACATGGTGGAGCCAGAGAGCCCTGTGGCTAAAGGGTCAATTGATGCATGATGCATGATGGTTCAAAAGTGGCTAGGCTTCCATACAATTACTGTAAAGCTTTGTTTCGAAAATAGTGGGCAAAATGGGGGAAGCAAGTCGGGGAAGTCGCACCGAGATGAAACAAGGGAAAAGTCATATGAGGCTCACAAGTCAAGAGCTGCAAAACTTCATAGCCACATCTCTCGCACCCAGGCCACCAGACCGTCGTGGGCGTGCCAAGTACAGAGCAGATCTTGTAGAGCCTCATGAACAAATCTTAAGTGGGAGGTTCTTGATTCCATGCGGAGGAATATCAGGAATTGATCTGGGCTTGGAAAACTTTCAGTCTCCTCAGTGTCGGCACCAGCTCCTCTCTTTACCAAGTGGCTGATCGCTCTCAGAGGAGCCAGGAAAAAGCGGCCTGTGACTGCGAATGGAATCGCCACAGCCAATCTCTTCAAGAGATTCTCAATAACAATGAGACATTAGCTTGCATTGCTGGCTGCACGCTAGCTGTTGGCCAGAAGTATGCTCTACAAGTTCGCACCCTATGTCAACTGGGTGAACTGGATGAGGCAAATCCACCAGATTCAATCGAAAATGTTCCTGTCTCTTTCACCTGCTCAAAGAAGTCAAGCCATTAGCTGAAGCAAGACTGAGCAGCAAGACAATGTGGTGGCCTGTTTTCCGCTGCACAAGGGAGAATTTGTTTTTCCCATGAACATACCTCAAATCTGTCGAAACCCAGCAGCAAGCCTGAGCGTGTAAAGCTCTGCCATGATGCCTCCACAGGCCTTGCAAGAGCACTTCACACTGGTCTTCGTCTGGAGTCTGGAGGCGTTGACAAATCCCAACAAAGACGTGATCAAGTCATCTAGTCCATGCAACCATCAATTATATGATAATTATACAACCGGCTACCCAGTGTTTCAGACATTCCAGCACCTTCACTCTGTCTCAGCTCAACACCCAAATGTCTAGCGGTGAGTTGTAAATCGAGCTCCTCAGAAGAACCTGGCCAAGTCTTCATAATACCGATACCATCGTTTTTAGGTCGGAGGCCATCGCTTTTAGTGACTCAATGCAGATTAATCCTCAGTCCTTGTGCTTGGACCCAACTTAGGCTGAATCCGTTCGATCCTTGCCTATACCCTTGTGGCTGCGTTTTCAAAAGATCTGAGCAAGAATAACGTGTGACAGCATGTTCATACCTGCGTTCGGCATGCCTCAAATTGCCTCAAAATGCACCTAGTGTCCTCCACATGTTCAACTTCACCCCGACCTGGAACACTCCCAATGTCCTCCTTTCCCACTTGGAAACCTCTGGAGCTCGATACCACCGGGTCGACACGTAGTCGGTGAAGGGCGGACGCCTTAGGGATCTCAAGCGCGGCCATTGACATCGGTGTGGCATCATCTCTCCAAGTGACGAGTTTGTTTCACCCAGACCGAAGAATACGGACCTGGTGTTAAGCCATCTGACCTTTCCAACAACCATGACAAAGCGTGATGATGTCTTCACGATTGGCCGCATCTGACTGGCAATCTGTGTTCATTTGGGAGGTCAAATAATGCGTCTTGAGTATGCACTACAAAGTGGTGCTGCCAGGTGTATGACAAAAGAGCAGCCACGGCCAGGACATGTCTTCTCAAGTACCCTCTCAAGTGCTCCACTTTCAAAACGATCCTCTCTTTCGAACTTGGAAAAGACATTTTTCACACCGCATTGAGGGTTGATTCAGGTGCACTGGGAACGGAGTAGATGAGCCGTGGCCCAAAAACGGCTCTGGGACCACTGGCGCTCGGATTTCTCGCGCCAAGCCGAAGTCAGCCAGTTTCACAGTGTCACCACTGACCTGCACGAAGTGATGCTGCAAAGACCCGTCTTTTCGAAAGAAGCTCATCAGATTGACAAATGTACAGCTCTTCTCCAAGTCCAATGCACACAGATTTTGACAATAGAATCCCCTTCTCAATTTCCACATCGTGGCAGTATAGCTGTGTAGCTGTGTAGCTTTCAAAGGGGACTAGGTTCACCCTTGTCTCCAAGACCTGTTCTCACTGGTCCCGGCCAAAAGGTTCTCAGGCTTCATGTCGCGGTGAAAGTAGCCGTGCTTGTGCACGTGATTCACCGCCTCGAGGACGGAGAAGTGGTTTCATGTCTAGACTTAGAGTTCCAAAACAGCATGACAGCCACTCAATTGTTTGATAATTGAAATAGATCTGCGCCTGCATAGTCTGGAACATGATGTTTCGAACTTTGCTCTCTGGGATCGCACGAACCTGGGCGAATCATACCAACTCGGAAGGCTGAAGAAACCAGAACATGTGGTATGCAGCCAGGTCAATCGGAGAGTGTGTATGCGGGGACAACATGTGTGTCTGCAAGTCTGTTCATGCCCGTTTTTACTGATTTATTGACGAAAACATCAAAGATTTTCCAGTGTCCAGCTCATGCAGCTGGACCACGTGTGAACCGACCTCCCAAATTTTCTTCAGCATGAGGCTGTCAATCACAAAGCTGTGCAGTCCAGGAATTTTGAGCCAAAGCAAGGTCGGGTCCCACTCATTCCGCTGTTGGGGCTTTTCTCTAGTCTAAGCTGCCCGCTCTGGACTTCATGAACTCATAGAGATTAGCCTGGCCACGAGCCCATGACAATTCACGGGAATGGCCTGCAAGCTAGGCCATGAATGGCCATGACATATCAGTTAAATAGACAAAAAAAAGGTTAAAGTCAAGTAGACGAACTCTTGTCACTGCAAGTCTCGCACATCATCTAAAGATGAAGCTTTCCTCTTCTAGAACAGCCTTTCGCCGTCAACCAGGTGACACCAACCTCCATGAACTCAAAGACCAGGTGCAACTCATCGTTTTCCCGAATTACCTGCCCGGTCCATTTCAGGTCCAATCGAAAACGAAATAAGTATCCATTGAAAAACTCTGTGTTGCAAGCTATATAGCCTACATGAAGCATATTACAAACGACTTTGCAGCAAACGCTGTCTACAGAACGAAGCGCAAACACATCGCTTTTCAAAGGTCCTTGGTGTCATGGGTGTCTCGAACTCATCGGCCCAGCCTCCTTTAGTTTCACAATATTGGGATGGATGAGCCTCAGAGGTATGGCTAAAGCATATTGAAGCACTGGTGCCACCTCCACCTTGAAAGACCTCTGCCTTTAAAGAGGTGTGCCAGAAACATTAAACATCACAAGCCATCCGCAGAAATGAAAGCTTGACATATAAAGATCTGAATAGTAAATCCAGATGGACAGGATTGACCATGTATCCTTCACCAAGGAACTGAGGTCATCTGCCACATCAATTGGGTCTGGCTGGTGCCGTGTCTTGAGAAAGAGGTCTTTGTCACTGAGCGATCTACAACTCAATATTGAAACAGACAAACCTGAGCTATGGGCGGTGTACGCTAACCGTTAGCATGCCCTGACACCCTCGCCGGGGTCCCGCACTTCCGCAAAGATGCGATCTCACGAAGCTTCATGCACTCCTCCCAACCTCAAGGCCAACAGGGCAAGTCAGGCAGTCAGGTTGGCTGCGCTGTTTGTGTGTGTAGACTCTACGGACATGAAGTCAACACATGATGGGATCCGGATATCCATCACAAAGTTATCATTTGATATCAATTGTTTGGGTGCTTCACAAGTCTTCCAACAAGGTCAGTGAGATGCAAGTCGACACACAGTAGGTCAACTACCCTGTCAAATATGCCTCTCTTCCTTGGCTGTGTTTACGTCTGAGCTACTCTTCCATCAACACCTTAATACTTGTATGGAAATCATCCGTGAGTTCTCAACTGGGCAAGTGCAACCACAAACACCTGCAGTCCCTTCTTCTGCCCAACCATCCCCGACACCAGCAGAGCTCCCCAAGCTGTAATATTTCTGTTTCATCTTCTTGATAGCAACCTGAGTTCGTTCCGGCTAATCCGGTCATGGTGACTGGAAAGGGAAGGATACCTGGCGGCTTGCGAACCCCCACCCTCATCAAGTCCTTTCGATGCAACATTGGACGACAATGGGACTCGTTGCAATCTCCTTCCAGATGCAAGTCCAAACAATTGCACTGTCGAACATCCACACCAGCTCTCCCTCCCAATCCTGCTCAGGGCTCACCAATTCATTGGTCTGCTTGTTCTGTGCCTTGAGCACGGAGCCGTAGGTCCTCAGAACAAACGGGAGAGGAAATTCGCACGGGCACGTCCCCATGAGGTGAACTTGGGAAAGGTTTGAAGGCTGATCAAGACCGAACAGCATTTCGTCTGAAAACTGTTTCTGGAATGTGGCAGTGAAAGGACTCACAGGTTGGGGGAGAGCTACAAGAAGAGCAACTCGGCAACTCTTTCCTGTTTCGAATTTGGGGTGGAGAGGTACATGGTATGATGAGTGAGAATTGGAAATGCAAATCATGCAAGTTAGATTGGAGACATCGGAAGCATCACGAGAGTGTGTGAAGTAATATGTCAGATTAAGAATGTTCTTGAGGGTGCGTTTTGGAGCATTGTTGAACCTACGCTGAGCAAATTTAGATCAATTCGCGCCCAAGAAAACTTCATCTGGAATCTGTCGAGCCTTTGAAGCTGACTCGTTGTGGAACAAGCAAATGCAAATGGATGGAAATGATGAGCCAATGCGAAAATGAGTAAGGAATAGACAAGGGATAGAAAGCGCACACCCAATTAAACGCAGCAATACAAAACAAACATACATTCAAACCTTGCGGTGCGGGATGACATAAATACAAGGTGGCTTGATAAAGCACAGCGTTATATCCAAGGGCGGCACCCATCTCCAAGTGTTTTGAATACCTCAGGTGCTCAAAGGTGACACTCAGGTGCAAGTTTCTTCTCATCTCTCTGGGCAGTATCACTGCTCCAGCAAGAGACCTACGGGACCGACGCGGATTTCAGCCGCGCCTTGTATCGATTCATCGAACAGGGCACTCCCGAGACAGGGCTCCTGGTGACAAAGGACACAACTTGACACAAAATAGCAATGGCCTCCACCCTAGTAGCGATGGTCTCCACCCTACTAGCGATGGACTCCAACCTAATAGCGATGGCCTCCACATGATCAAGAGTTAGACGATTGAGTTCCGACAGATCCAGAAGTGTCTCCTTCCGTCCCTCTATTTTCCCACCGTTCTGCCGCCAATCGCCAATGTGCTTAGATGACGCACGCAACAAGTCAAATTGAAACGACACATGATCGTGTGATCAGCAAGTCATTCCATTATCACATTCAACTTGTTCACTTTGCCCTGTGTCCTTTGACCTGTCTGCACGGAGGCAACTGGCTTGATGCCTCCCTACCACTTGAGCCAAATAGGGCGGCAAAACCATGCTTTCTGCTCTCAGTCTGTTTGATGAGAGCCCAGCGGTCAGGCTGGCAACTCCTTTGAAGAAAACTTCAACAAAATGAGAGTCCATTCCTTGGAGCTGCTGGGCTGGATAGATTCCAAAAAAGCCATCCAATACATCCCCAGATCAACAATGAAATTTTTGTAGCGAGAAGCTGCGTTGATTCTCTTGGTCAGTAAACAGCTAAACATGTCAGTACAAAACTGTCCCAAGAGGTCAGGTGCTTCCACTCTGTGTTCAGTCACTCCACAGCTCCTGAGGGTGGACGCCCTCTTGGCACTTTGTCAAGTTTCTCACCATGCAACACCTCCCCAGTGATGGGGTTGAGCGTCACCTTTCGACATGAAAGTGCGAATGCTCATCCAAATTGTACCGATGATGTGATCCTTTCCAAAGACTGTTTTTAGTTTGACCGCCCCATGTCTGTGGAATAATCATTGAATCCTACAAACGGGATGTCTGCGATCAAATGAAAGTGGAAAAGAATGTACTTAAAGAAAGGTTTGGTTCCTATACGTGTTTAAACTCAGTTTTAAACTCATTAATTGAGAGACCTTCCAGCCCGATCATAAATGGGGAAACCTACAGTATCTACGTACAAATAACGCAAATGTGTTACTTCCTCATTCAGGTTCACAATTATGAATGATGCCACGGACGAAAACTAAGATTGACATACGATGGTAGAACTCCATGGATCTTGCATTGTACATTGTACACCTCGGAAAGTTTCATCGGACTTTGAAACACTCTTCTTGGCACACATCCGCGACTGCCAACGCGTGGCCTGCTGACGACCCATCTGCTCCGCAGCACGGCGTTGTTCCTTGCAATATCATCACCGGTCAAACACATAAAATGGGAGTTATATATATATACATTGACATGAGTCACAACAGACCAAAACCAATACTTGGAAACGTTGCAACAAGGCAAGCCTGCTTGGATAGTATGTTTGCCAACTGTGTCACATGCACCGGCAGAACAATCGAGGAATACATGAAACACGCAAACACATCGTCACGCGAAATTGCAGCCAACCCCATGTTCGTGTCAGCAACAAAGGATCAAGCTTGGAACATGCATAAGACGTCCAATCACTACCTACCACTCGGCCTGCAGTGATTGGTCACTGCACAACACGCGCATGCCGCTGGCCACCCCCATTTGGGGTCGATAGACTCCAAAGCTCATGGCAAAACCCGTCGAAGCAAATTGTTTCCAATGCAATCATGACAAACAAGTTTAAACTGGTCACTGTCGAGCTGGAAAAGTCGCCGCAATGTGTTTTTGCTTGCGCAGGCCTTCTCTGTTTCATGTTTGATCTGGACCAACGTTCAACAACCCACAATAGAACATGTTCACCCGATTTTTGCATGAGAATATTGATTGAAAGCAGCTGCCACAATTGTTTCCCCACCATGCAAATTGCATTCATGTCATCCTCATATCAAGTGACTTTCTTGCCAATCTTAAACATCCAACATGTCACAGCGGTCATAGCTATTGGCCCACTGGCCAAAAAACAAACACTGGTGCATCTGAACTTACGCTACTTCAAGTTTGAATCGATTTAATTGAACAGTTTTCCTAAATGCATCCCAAATCCTGTTTAATTCAAAGTCACTGTCACTGTTGCATGCAAAAACCGCTGAATAGAATTCGTGCCAACACACATGAATCGAATATAAAGTGCACACACGCGTGCATCCAAACCCGCAAAGACCCCGAGAACTGACCCCCATTTTTTCCAGTCTCTTTGCCTGAAATGAAACCTTCATTTTGGTTAGGTCAGAAACTGAAGCTGAAACCTGAAATTTCACCAAGTTCTGCCCAAGATCCAATGTTCATGGGTGGTCTCCAGCCGAGT